ATTTGCCCCAGTTGGCTCTGGAAATATGTAAAGATGGCTTTTTGTTTCACTTCTATGCAGATGATGCACCCTATTTCAGGTTTTGGTCTTCCTGATTCCTGATTCCTGCGGTAGTTATTATTCTTACTGGATTACCTGGGTTTGTTGGACTGCTTCATTGAGTCGCTTGGACATTACCACCGTAAGTTTTAACAAGTTTAAAAGTAAACTCTTCCTGCCAAGTCAAGTGATCTGCAATTAGGTCTAAAACCTGTTTCCTGTACAGACTGACTATGCAGCCGTGATAAAGTTTTAAGGTTTTGAAACTTTGATGTATCTTACATCAATTGTAAGTCTTTCAGTTTCATTCATGAGCTGGATGTGAAGAGGTATGACTCCATCTGCAGGAACACGAAACTCCATTTCTTTAGGAGGCATCTCCTCTGGACCTGACATGTTTGATTGACGATGTATTCTTTGTTCCACATAATCCATTTTCCAACTCCACTGACTTTGCTGTATCACTGACACTTGAACGGCCTTTTGCTGATCCTCCAGTGACAGCGGCTGATCGTTGTATGTAGATATTTTCAGCTACAAAACAAGAAAATTATTGACAGAAAGCTTTTAATTTTTTATCCTCAGTAGAAATACAGAGAACAATATGTAAAAATCTATTGTGTAAGAGGCCCTTGTCCTCCAGTGTCAGTACGTAAAAGTTAAGCCCTAAGTAGCCACGCAACTACAACTATTTTTTTTTTTCCTCCTTTAATAATTGATAATTTTCTCGGGATCTTGAGATAACAAACCATAGCTGCATACAGGGGTCGGCTGGTGCGTTTCTTTCAAAGTACTTTTCTGTGTGGCTGGTTAGCTCAGTTGGTAGACTCCTGTTTTCAATAACTTGTTTTTTTTCTTCTTTTGTGTTTTTTATTATCCTCTTCAACAAAGTTGTTATGAAGAGATTTAGGGGAATCCAATCACACATTTCCAGACTATTTCAAAGGTTCTGAAATAGTCAGGAAATGTGTAATTTTAAATGGATTCCCCTGAATGAGAAGCGCAGGAATTTCCTCTGCCTGGGATGATAGGGAAATGAAAGGTCCATAGGTTGATGGATGTGGACCAATCGCCGGGATGCACATAGCCCAGCATGTGCTTTATCGTGAGCATGTGAAACAGTCCCTTCATAAACTTGAACATGAAAGATTAAAAAATAAAAGTTGATTGTTAGTAAGGATCAAACCCACAACTCAAAGAATATGAGTACTGTGCTCTACCAACTGAGCTAACCAGTGACACTGACAGTAACACTAAAATTACAATTAAACCACTGTGTTAAACTACTGTTTTGTTATCTCGAGATCATGAGAAATGATCTTATCATGTTAAAGCAACATTCATTACCTCAAGAAAATGATCCTGTTACCACTGGAAATGGAGTAAAAAAAATATTCAGATCGATGGCCGCTTTGGCCTTCCGTACATTATCCATATTGTATATTTTATAAGTAAATCAATTTAATAAGAGAAGCAAAAGTAGAAAATAAAAATTAAATAAAAAGACAGCTTTTCTTACCCTGGCAGTGAAGTTCAGAGATGGCCTTAATATTTGGGGATAGTCCTCAAAAGAAACTTTATATCTGTGCTTTGCCAAGAACACCTTTGTGTTTACTGTTATATGTAAGACCTGAAATATGAGAAGCACTCACAGTTATTTTGATTACCCATTAACATTTTATTAATCAGTTAACGGTTCCAATATATTCTCTGTAAATTGTATTTCTCAACGTGAAGGTCTAAAGGCTTGGTCACGCGGAAAAAATGCCCTAGAGAACACATTTTCTAGATGACTGACATTGAGGACCAACATAACGTACGAATTTTACAACCTTTTTTTTTTTACAATGTTTTCTACTTGTCAAACATCATGTGACTTAGGTCATGTGACTTATGTAACGTACTTAAGGTCCAGCATGCCTGTCGCTGGACTGGTACTTGCCAATGCTCCTACATTTTCTACTTTGAAAAACGGTCCTACATTTCAATTTGGGACACTCGATAGTTGACCTGTTTTGTTGTTTAGGTATGAGGACGTGTTGGTGATATATAGATTGAATAAAAGCTTTCTATTTTTGACTCTAGTCTCATTTCCCTAAAGACCAGTATTGTCAAGGGGTCAGCGGTGCAAATCTGCGGATCAAAATTCACTGAAGTTTAACTAGATATGAAAAATAGAACAGATTACATCATTATCCCTGTGACAGGATACAGTTGTGGTTGGATGTTTATTTATGAATTGGCTGGTCTAAAAGGAGTCACATTTAAATATATTGAAGCTAAAATTGACTAAAATATTCACATTGTAGGACCTCAGTGTCCTCGCTTCCGAGGGAAACACGCAAAGTGCCATACATAAGTGTGGCCAGGAGGTGTGAGGTGAAAACTGATTACCTGTGAGGTGGTCAGTCACATTAACCATGATCATTAGAAACTCTTCATCCATGTATCCGTCAAAGAAGACCATATGTAGAGCTCTCCTGCTCATCAGGTGGCGCTCAGGAAAGTCAAAAAAGAGTAGGCAGTGCCTTCAATCTAAATCAAGCAGCAGGGATGTCATTAAGTACATTGATTCATTATTGTTGGCTGATTTATAGTTAGTGAGTCCAAAAAAATAAAATATACTGATTAATGTCCATTACAATTTACCAGTTATCAAGGAGATGTGTGTCCAAAAAACCTGAAGTATTTTATTTGCACTGATATAAAACAGGTCAAATACCAAATCCTCAAAAGTTTATATGCATTTTTGATGTAATCAGATCATCAGTCCAAATCAAAGTTAGGAGCTTTAAATAAAATTACACACCTCTCTATCTTCATTATAAGCCTCTTCGAGACCATGAAAATGATGGAGGAACGTTACATTCATGTGTCCCGTGACAGGTTTGCCGTAAATGTATCTGAGGATGAAAACATAATAGTTTTAGATAATTCTCTGGTTTTAATCACAAATGAGATTATTAATACACAAACATGAATAAAAGTGTTGGAACTGCACTTAATGAAACAAAGGTCCCCACTTTGCTGTGACGGAGCCCAACAGAGTGTCCTCATGATAAATGACATCCGGAACGTCTATCACAACTTCAAACTTCGGCAGCACTGCAACCAGATATTTAATTATACAAAGTGAGTGAACAGAAGGAAATTAATCAAATCAATATTTGGTGTGACTACTCTTTGCCCTCAAAACCGCATCAATTCTTCCTGGTGCACTTGCAAAAAGTCAGGGACTTTATAGCAATATCACCAGGGATTACACATTTATATTAAAAGGCTGCTAATGATCATAAATTTAATATGTATGTTGAAACACAATAATCAACTCAAAAAAGAACAGCTGTTTAGGAGGAATAAAACTGGGTGAGGAACAGACATATATACTATATGTAGGGTGATGGTGTTTTCTGGATAACTAGTTAGGCTTCCCAGAGATGAAGAAGAAATTTAGACGTAACGCTTTTGTACAATTGCTCACCATTTATTGTACGGAAAAAGAAAATACTGAGTATACATACCGTAATGAGCCACGTTGAAAACTTCTCACTTGAAATGCCCTGTAAAACACAGAGAGGGTATATTTTTGTTTTCTGCTTTAACAGCCTCATGGGGCCACTTGCCTGACGGTTACTCTTGCTAAGGGACTACGTGGAAATTACTCGGTTGGGGATCTTATTTTTAATTTATTAAAAAGCAAGGCTCTTCCCAGCATTATCAGTATTTTCTTTGGACTCTCCCTGAGACCCATCAGACACATGGGTCTGTAATGCCCTTGCTCTAATTTGGTGGCTTATGAATTCATATATAAAGTAAGTACGAATTAATATTCCTAAATTTATGATCTGTTAAATAACCACATAAAGTCAGAGTGACAACCTGCATTGATTCATGCATAAAATCATGAGGCATGCATTAGTTAAGCTTTACTTAAGTATATATTTTGTTCCATTTGTGTTATCCACAGTCCAAGTTTCAAGTCTGCAGCTCTGGTAGAGAATTAGTCATCTGCTTTCCTTGCATGAGCTCCGTCTACACTGTAATTTAGCATGTCATTTGTTGTCAAACACTCTGAAAATGCCAATAAGGAATTTAATTTGGTCTTCGACTTTAAAATCCTGATAAATTAAGTTAAAGAATTTGGCAACAAAATAATAGACACATATCCTTTATCCATCTGAGATGGGTTCCTATCCTTATTAAAGCACGGTCAGTTACACACTTAATGGACTGGATGAGATGTAGCAGACTTACACTGACTGTGGTGACGATGGTCCACTGACCCAGAGGTGGGTTTTCAGACAGCTGAAACTCTTGAGACACAACCCCAAGGACGCCGTCGACAGCCAGCCACTGTCTGAGCACGTTTCCCCTCGGATCCTGGATAAGGTAGAACATGTATAGAGAGAAATTAAATTTTGCTATATAATGTAGGACAGAGCTCAAGTCAAGCGATGTGTTCTGTCAGTGATTTTGAAGGTCATGTTGATCAGCAGACTGCTTAATACACCCTTCAAGCAGTAGATCTACTCATTCCAGTGGTAGTTTGTCAATAAATTAAAAAACATATACATTTTTATATATGCACATCTTATGATAAATAAAATCTATATAATTAAAATTAACTGTAAAAGAAATATAATAAATTACACTATGGCAGTGATTTTGATTCATATCTGGTTTGTTATTTCTGGGTTCTCTCATACTATGAAGCTTCTTTTACAGTTTTTGTTTGGTTTTGTTACACATTTTTGTATTGTGTTGATTAATGTCCTGATTGAACATTGAGGGTTTTATCGACAGTTTCATTTTTGGATTACTTGTTCCTAAAGTGGATGTTTGAGTTGATTGATAATGAAGATGTTTGACTACTGATATGCTGAAATATAATAAGCACTATATATAAATGGTATATTTGGAGACTTTATGTATACTGTATGTTGATGTCAGCCTCACTCTGATGATGATGTCCACTGGGCTCATGTAAGGTTTCCCGTCAGGGTGAATGGACACCGCTCTGATCTTCACCACCTGCCTGGGCCGATAGTTCAGTTTGTCTGTTTGAATGAAGGTGGAGAGGCCTTTGGTGTCAAAGTCCAGCTGCGTTGAGTTGGAGAAAACCTTGACGCCACTCACGTGGCCTTTGACCTCCAGGCTGTAAGGCTGCAAGTAGCTGGACTCGCTCTGATGGATCTGCAGGGGTAGAACATTTAGCTCTGTTTAAGTCTCTGGAGATTAATTACAGACATTTTGTATTTTATAATGGAAATCAAAGATGCCTGAAACCTCGGTAGAGATATACTGTATTCTTGAAGCTGCTCCAACCTGAGTGCAAAGTGTCTTAGTTGTCTGTAAATTAAGGGACGGAAGACTGAGAGCCGGGCTGTTGCCCAGATTTGAGGCTTTAATTGTGGATCTGCTCAACATCTGTCTGAATTTCACTCTGTTTCTGTTCAAAACTCTCAGTTTAAACTTCAAGGAAAAGCCTCTCTTCTCTACTATAAAAAACAGACAGTCAGTGTTCTGGTTTGATTAAAAAAAAGTATTCAACTGTAAAAAATCTGCCTCAGTACATCTTTGACTAAGAATCAACCGCCATGCTAGCTGCCCCCTGTGAGGCTGGACTAACATGCTCACAAGGACTGCAGGCCAAAGTGACCCAAATCTGATTTTTATTTTTTGTGTTTATATAAGTATGAACAGCCTGAGTCACATGTAATCTGATGTAATCGTATGACATTGTATTATTCTTTATTCTTCAGATGCGGGTCACTTGCAGGCCATGGCCAGTTCACACTGGAGTCTGATTTGGGTCACACTTAAGTAATGATATTAAGTGTCAATCAAAAGAAATTGGATTTAAGCAATAAATCTGAATTGAGCATTTAGGACTGCAGTGTGAACATAGTCAGACTAAGGCTGATGGGAATGTCATTAGTTTAGCAGGTATTTGGTTATAAACCAAGGTATTGGATAAAGTAATACGACCTGAAAAGTTAAGGGATCACTGATGTGATTACAATTCATCCTGAGAGAACCATGAATGTGTCAATCCATTAGTGTTGGGAGAATTGTCAAACATTACAAATGTCAACCTTATAGTGATGCTAGTTGAAAAGTCAGGGGAGTTAGTAGTTAGGATTCATCCTCTGGGGGCCATGAATACAAGTACAAAATGTCATGACAATCCATCGGACAATGGTTGAATCGAGTGACATCCCTAGAGCTACACTTAAAAACTTGAAAGCTTGATATATAAATGAATATATAAAATGATATATGCCATACTTACAGGAGGCAAAGTCAGCAGCTTGGTTGAACCTTTAAAAACAGAAAGCATATCAGTAATGTTTAATGTTTAATTTCGCTGCAAGTAATTATAATCAGAAGACAGTCTTTTGCTGATCATGCACAAAAGATTTCACCTCCTTTAACTGTAGCTGAGTGTGAGGCCACGGTCTGGTTGCCATGAACAATGTGAACAGATACAGTGATCGACGAGTTGGTCAGGATGGTGACTGACACTGATGCTGGGACTCCAGGACGGAGGGATCTGGGAGTCAGCAGCAGGTACGAGGGCTGAGGGTCGGGGCTGTAAAACCAAATTGGTCAGGTTAAATACATTATACACAATAGATCTTCTGTGGTCAACAGCTTTAACCATTTGGAAACTACCAGCTATTTGTCCCTATTTCCAATAAAAACGCCTAAAATAACATACCCAAAATGAATCAGTAATAACTCCTCAAACATTAGGCCTAGATGCATAATTCTGGTCTCCTTTGATAACTCAGAAGCTAAGGAATATGAATCAACTGTAAAATGAACGAAAACGGCAAAACTAAGTCAGCGGTTATAGCTGTATACTAAATATATATTGGTGCGTTTGTTGTTATTATAACTCCATGAGTTTGGTGATTTGAGTGACATGAGTTACACAGCTGATCAGCTGGAGCAGAGCTTTCTTTAGAGTGGTCGGACTGCGGTGTGGGATGAGATGAGAGATATCTGGAAGGCAATAACTGCAGGCATGTACAGTGATTACAGACCGATTTATGTTGTGATATAAGTTCATGGTGTTTGATGTGTGTTTGGTATGGATAAAAATGGTTTGAGCTTCTAGCTGAGCCTCCTAGTTTCACTGTGGTGTGTAGCATGGATAGGGTGACAAAGTACTAGGGTCGTCCATGGATTTCCCCTTTGTATTTTGCGCTAAGCTTGATGTATCTTATTCCTCTTTGACACAGAGCTCCATTGTTGTAAAAACAAATCAATGAGCCAAATTAGGTGACCTCCTAATAATCTTAACCAAAATCAAGACAAAAGGGGGAAATTCTCAATTTAGACTCGAGTGAATTTCGACTGATCAGTGCACAGATGTCCACTCTAAATCTCAAAGGTTAAAGAGTATGCCAAATCAGGTTCCAACTGTGCCAAATCTCTGTAAAATTTTAAGTGATTTACGTAGTTTTTTGATACAACACAACATGTTCTCACCCGCCGACTCGTCACATATAGACGCATGGTCAAGACCCATCTGCGTCAGTTTGTAAGCACTGGGGATCCCTATAGCATCATAGTTCAACGCAGTGGGGGAAGCCCTGAAGCATCAGTTTTTGACGGTAAAGGTAGGCATATGATATTGGTGGATGGAGAGCCAGAACCTGGACTTTGAACCAGGAGGCCGGGGATCGTGTCCTGCATGAAACAAATACTCAACATTAAATATTTTTATTGAAGTTACGCGAGTTACATAAATTGCATAAGTCATGCAAGGGACATAAGTTAACTTACGTGTAAACTGACCTACTTAATTATTTTAACCCAAACCATGATCTTTTCCTAACCTTAACCAAGTACTTATTGTGCCTAAACCTAACCAAGATGTTATTTTTTTTTAAAACGCACAACATAGACATTAGGTGAAATGTAAGCCTCCAATGAAAGAAACCTCAGGCAGGTAAGTAAGTACAGTAAGACACACCTTTTTTACAAAGTGCTGTATATATAATATCAAGCATAAACAAAAAAACACAAGACAGAAGGTCATACACCTACACCCACATACAAACATAAAGCACAAACAACCACTAATCTAATGGGGAGTCTGGGTGCAAATGAACTGTTGCCTCTGGTGCCTTACAAGTGATTAAAAGCATTTTAAAAACTTGAACTTAACTGGCCTCAACTGCAGCGAGGCTAAAATAGGAGTGATGTGTGATTTAGCACCAATCAAAAACCTAGCTGCTGCATTTTGTTCTAGCTGAAGACGTGCCAGAGCAGTCCCTTAAACTGTCCAGGTGACGTTCCCTGGATCTACCTGGATCTGTAAGTTTACCTGTGTGTGATGTTCTGGGCGACCGTGAGAAAGATGAGGCCAAAGAAGAATCCCCACACCTGGAGACGCTCCATTTGCGTGAATGAATATCACTTCACGGGGCTTCACTCAATGCTCGAAGCAGGTGATGTTGGTGGCAGCCTTCGTACCTGCAGACAGTGTCCCCACCTCCCTTCCTCCTCATACAGTATCACCTGATGAACTGAGCCAGTGTCAGTTTACCTGAATCCCCCCAGGGAGGCTTCATTTAGGAGCAGAGACTGGGTGTTTCCACTCTGACTCTGATATTAATACTGTTCTGTCATAGAAACTGTTATCCATCAGCCTCACAGCGATTACATGGAGCTGGAAAAGTGAAAAGTAGGTGGCCTCCCAAGGGGCTCCAAAACTCAAGGTGTGTCATTAAAACTGTCAGTTTGTCAGCAGGGATGTAATGAGTTAGCACGTAGCCCCAAGGCAAGATGGTCATAGCGGGCCCCTTCCTTTTACAATCGAAGTAGCACAGTGTCAGTAGTAAATTAAAGAAGTGAAAGCTTGCAGCTTTAAAACAAGGAGCAACCGTGACACACTCTGCACAGTTTAACTAAAGCCATTTTTCCATTACCAGTCCCAGCTCAATTCGCCTCGACTCAACTTGGTTTGGCAGTTCTCCGTTCTCCAGTACCCAGAGATAGCACCCCTCAATGTAGCTGGTTGTCATGAGCTCCTCCTGCGGGTTGGAGTGCGGAGCTCAACTCCGAAAACTTTGAAGCTTATTTTTGTTCCGCCATCACTTTTCGTAAAACTGTCAATATTCGAAATCTACACAGTTGATTTCTCACCTCAAAACTTCTCAGAAGTGGATTTAGTGATGAAATAACGTATGAAAATTGTAAAATATAAAACTTCCTGTTGCTGGCCTCTGTCAGGCGCACGCAATGAGGATGCAGTGAATAGTGACGATTCTCTCTGACCAATCAGCAGTCTGCCGTGTTTTCATATCACATTTTAGTATCGCCTCAGCTCTCTTGGAACCTTGACGGAGGTGATACGAAAAAAACTTTTCCACAATGGAAAACCAAAAAAGGCAAGTAGAGTTGAGGCGAGGTACCATGCAGGGGAAAGGGGCTTAAATGAAACCAGACAACATTCTATAAAGAAGATGACTTAGGCAAAGACAGTGATAGATTAGCCTACGTGATCAAATCGGTGTTCAACCACCTCACTATCACCATAAGAGACTGAAACAAAACCTAACCAGTGACAGCACACCTTTACACATACGAAAACATGACTGGTGACAGCGCACCGGGACAGTTGCAAAAGAAATGTAGAGGTTATGTAATTTTCTAAATATCGCATAACACGCTTGCTTGCTGAAAAACTTTGCTTGCTGTGGCACACAGTGTTTCAGGCTGTAGAAGTTTGAATGTCTTTGGGGGCCACGTAACGTTACTCGTCCTCATCATCAAAGTGGATGGCACGATGCTGTTGCTATAGCCGTAGGTGTCCCCTTCGGCTCTTCTCAGAGATGGGGACTTGAGTTTGAGACTCAGAGTTGCACTTAAGTTGCAAACACAATGACTTCACTCGACTTGAGACTCGTCCTCAATAGACTTCGGACTTGACTCGGACTCTAGGTGCGGGACTTGTGAACAGTGTTTATTTTTAGGAAACGTCTGATGAACTTGCAGTTATTCCCCTCTGTTGTAACCTTCCTCCGTAACACAACTACGTCTCTGGTGTGTACGGCCACTCGTGAGAGAGGACAGTGAACACAGGTGTCGTGCCAAAAAGTGATCGTCCGCCGAAAACTGATTGTCGTCCCTGGGAGGTCACACATATTAAAACTGTATCGCCCAGTCTCTTTAGGACTACAGCTGCTTTTATCTGGATCAAACAGACATAACGTCCAAGGTACTTTAGGTTTCTTTGTTGACTACCTAAATAGACCTTTAAATAAAATATAACCCCGACGCCCGCTTGTACATCCACAATACCTATTACGCAACCATAAAATCTCACCGATTGACCTAAAATTGGAAAGAAGGAGTTTTGATGTTTTAAAGACTTGATATTATTTATTAAGTAAATATTTTTGTTATTTAAAATATTTGGAAAGAAAAACTATTACTATAACTTATATTATGCTTAGGTTCACTTCGACTCCAGGAAAAACAAACACAATTTCAAACATTTAGAAGGATTTTCTTTTTAAAACAGAAACTTTGGTAAGGAACACACAGCAGTTCTTTATCTACAAAAAAAGTAAATGTACATATGAAATAGTTAAAAACAAAGTTACAAAGTCACTAAAATGAGTTTGACAGAATATGAACAGCAGACTCTTTTTCCTACAGCCCACCAGCAGGTACAATCCAGCCTTTTCTTTACACTACTGTGTAACCCAGCTGCTCCAGGAAAATCCTCCTTTGACTAAGTTTTCCACTGTCAGTTTATTTGCCTGCCTGCCCAGCTAATCCTGGTTCCCCTTCGAGGGAACTCGAACTGCGTCGGTTACGACACTATGGGAACGCCTCTAGGCGTAGCAGGTCTGAACGTGAATGAAATCACTCCAATCCTATTGGCTTGTTGCTAGAACGGTAAGGTGTGTGAAGTATAAAGCACACCTGCACACACTCATCATTAGCTTTTTTCTATTCAGCAGGCGCTCTGTATGTTGTTTGAAGAAAGCTCCAGTCCTACAAGCAGTGTGTCTTACCTGAAGAAGAAGTCTACCAGCATGTCCGGCAACCAGATGTACAGAAGGTGTGTTTTTTCTTGCCCTCGGTACATCACGGATGGAGATTCTCATGAGATGTGTGTCTCATGTTTGGGGATGGAGCACGCCCGGGCAGCTCTCGAGGGGGCTGCCTGCGCCCGTTGCGAAGCCCTTTCCGTGCGGGTACTGAGGTACAGCATGGCTCTCTTTTCCGAGGATAGCTGGATGTGTTCTCCCCGTGGTGCGGGCCCTGCGGCCGCTGAGGCAGCCCGGCGGTTTCACTCATGGGGTTCACAGCGTGAGCTGTCGGAGGATTTCGGGACGGCTGAGGCTTTTTCCCGACCTTCATCTGCTGGCTCCGACGCTTCCTTTCCTCATTCGGGAGCCCGTTCTCGGCTTCTCCCGCTTGCGGTTTGGATCCGGAGACGCTGTATCAACGTGCTCAGCGTAGTGGACGATGACTTCCGGGTGTCGGGGCGCCCGACTATGACGTGCTGCTGGAGGTGGTGACTAGAGCCGTGGCTAAGCTCAACATCAACTGG